CCGCCGAGAGGAAAGGAGGCTGTTACGTCTCGACCTGCCGTTTCAGTATTCTTGATCGTGTACATACAAAGAGTGTTGCAGCAAGGGTCTTGGCCTGGATGGCGCAACCCTCCCCGTCGCTCACCCCCCCCGTCGTTACCTCTCGACCTACCGTTTCATTTCTTGATCATGTACATACAAAAGGGTGTTGCAGGAAGGGTCTTGACCTGGACGGCACCACCCTCCCCGTCGCTCACCTCCCCCCTCCCGGTACCTCTCGACCTACCGTTTCAGTTTTCTTCATCGTATGCAAGGGTGTTACAGCAGTAAGGGTCTTGACCCGAATAACACCACCCTCCCCGTCGCTCACACACGCCCCCCCGTTACCTCTCGACCTACCGTTTCAGTCTTCTTCATCGTGTACAAGGGTGCCAAGGGTCTCGACCTGGACGACACCAGCCTCTCCACCGCGTTCGCCTGGGCCTTGGGCCTGGGGGGGGGGATCGGCCTGGCCATGATCCCCACGGTGCTCCCCTACATGCGGAGGAACATTGCCGCCAAGTTCAACGAGGACGGCACCCTCAAGCCGGTAAGGAAAGCGCAAGGAGTTGTGCACCGGTAAGGATGCGAGAGAATGCACGGGGGTGTTGTTAGCATTTTCCAAAGCTGGATTGCTGCACAACCGGGACGGTGCAAACCCCAACCGATACCTCTCACGAAAACCCTCGACGTGATATTTCCGTGGCCACCCCCTCGTCGGCAGTGGCACCCTCCTGGTTGTGGAGAAATCACGCTGTTAAAAACGCCGACACCCCGGTGCGTTCTCTCGAGTTCTTACGGTATGCGTTGTTTTCCATTTTGAAACCTCCACCCCCCATCAGTACATCAGCGAGTGCTCCTCAGGGCCAAAAAAGTCGCTCAGACATCCGTCATGTTGTGGATGGAATGAACAAAAGCATCCCCTACTACCCCTCCTCTCTCCTCGCGTGAATCAAAGCTCGTCACGAGCGCACTGCCGCGTCGCAACAGACAAGGTGATGCGGTTTCGCATCTTACCGTAGGAGCGGTTTGGTGTGTATGCACCTAGTATTATAAGTGCATCTCCACCTCCGATGTTCCCGGGGCGACTGCCCGAATGCCTCCTTCTCATGCCCGAGGGTTGAAGGATAGGAGAACTCTATCACATGCAATCTTGCCCCCCCTTTGTCTTCGACATCCATCCGCATCCATTCACGGTAACTCGACTGAATGCCAGTTTCAAGCCCCAAGGGTACGAGGGTATGACAACTCAATCCCGCCCAATCCCCGTTGCTGTTTCTTGTTATTCTGTATCCATCCGTGAGTGCCCCTTGTCTGCGTTGGTTCGAGGGAAAATCCAACTCAATTCACACCCAATCCCCAAGTTTGTTTTGTCGACATCCATCCGGCTTAGTGCCCCTCTCGTGCCTAATGATTCGAGGGTGTAATGGCTGATTATTTCACACAAGCCTCATCGATTTTTTCTTCCAAATTGGTTCATAATCATGATACTTCAGGTTGCCGCGGTGGAGGAGAAGGAGAAGCAGAGCGGCGTGGTCGGGTTCGTAATGAACCAGATTAACCAGGACATCCACTCGAGCGTCAAGGATTCGGGGTACGTCAGCCAGATCCACGACAACGCGGAGAAGTTCGACCCCCGCGCGGAGGAGGCCTTCAAGTACGTGCAGGTGAGAATTCGAAGGGACGACGACGACCAACTAGAGAAGGAAGCCGCGTCTACGTACATTACCAAACTATAATTGTATCTCTAACGTCACCAAGCGCGAAGCGACGTGAGGTGCTCGGTGAGTCGCATAGAGATTGCGCTGCATCTTGCTGAGGGTGTTCGGCGTCTTCTGCTTGCTTCGTTGCGTATGGATGACAGCTGCATGGTGGTGCTTTTGGGGGCATGGCAAGGTAGCAATGAAAGCGCCAACAGGCGTGATGTACCACGGGGTCCCAGTTCACGGCATTTAGGAAGTTTTTTGTGCTTTCAACCGCACTGACACTGACGTATTTTATTTGGGCAGCCGGTTAGCGCGGTCGATGCAAATACCAAAGACACAACACAGATCCCGATGGAAGGGGCATCCTCAGATGATGTCGGCCCTGCTGCTCTGCTCTGTGATACGATGACCCTGACCCTAACCCTTGAAAACACGGCGTGGGCATGCACCGCCGTGCATCCGTAGGTGTTGTTGTGGGCGGGGGGGGGGAGGGGGGCGAACTTGAGACAAACGTACTACGCAGCATGCCGGCTGTCGACAGCTGCCCTACAGCAGAAAGGCGTGCTATTGAATCACAAAATTCTTACACCAACCCGGTACTGTACGCCTACGTACACAGGTAGTCTGTCCCTTAGCTGTCCAACAAGGAGAGATGCCCTCTCATTACAGCCTCCAAGTTTTGACCCCCCCCGTGTTCACCGCCACTGCCACGTACCGTAGGTTGCATACGTAAGATACCTCACCCCATGGAACGATTTTCAAAGCTCGATTGCTCCACGACGAAGAGGACCTGGAGGTAAGGGGTGCGTTGTGGGAAAGGTAGCTCATGACGAGACGGTTCCAACGCCGCCATTTTCGGCACCATCAATACTTCTTGCCGAGATATCGAGCTTCGAAAACCGCACCAGGGGATGTGTGTGGTATCCTACGCCACCTGCTGTACGTAGCAGATGGGAAAAAGAGCAGAGTTAACAAGCACCGGGCGTGCCCAACGCTAAATTCTCTGCATGCCGCCCGCACCCCCCCCCTCAGGTTTTTACCGCCATCTGCGACTCCTTCTCGCACGGAGCGAACGACGTTGCCAACGCCATGGGACCCTTCGCGGCCATCTACCTGGTCTACTCCACCGGCGTGGTCAGCTCGGAAGGCGACCTCGGGGACGACGCCTTCTGGATCCTCGCTCTGGGCGGTTTCGGTATCGTTGCCGGACTGGCCATCTACGGGTAAGCAAGCTTGCCGAGCCGTAAGGAAAAGCCGAAATAGGTTGGACACCAACCGATCCATCAGGAAAAAGCCGGTATGGAACCACACCAAGGAAGCGCAAACACCTGCGGTAGTGAACCGAGCACGAATCGCTAAGCATTGAGACGGTCGGTGGCCAGCATTGTTTGGAAAGCTGACGACATTACTTGGCGTGCACCATAGTTACGGTGTACCATGCACCAGGTACCTTTTCTCGACATCAGATACCCTCTCTCCCTTTCGCGCTTCGTACTTGATTGCCTGGCCTACTTTACTACCATGTAACATCAGGTACAAGATCATCGCCGCCATCGGCGTCAAGATCGCCAAGATCACCCCGTCCCGTGGTTTCGCGATCGAGCTCGGGTCCGCCATGATGGTCATCATCGGCACCCGGCTCGAGATCCCCCTCTCCACCACCCACTGCCAGGTAAGCTGTAACTAACGTTTGGATTCTATCCCCCCCCGCCCCGTAATGAAGTCCTCTGAAGAGGCGGCATTGCTTTGTTCGATGGAAGTTCTGGTGTTGGGGCACAGGACACGAGTTAGGAAAGAGGCGATTTCTTCCTTCTTCCCTCGGTGTTATTTTTGTGTAAACATCACCGCGCATCCTCTTTGGAACGTTCCTGGCCTGACTCGCGGAGACCTGCCAGTAGTCTACGCAGCAAAAATGATGAAGCAAACATACGTGAAGAGTATTCAATCCGTGCTTTGGGGTTAGGGTTATAGGGTCTGCGTGCCCCCCTCTTATTATTTTGCTAGATACTCTTAAAATCCTGCGTAGGCGGTCCAGAACCGCCGCCAACTGTTTCTTGTTTTGTCTCTTGGGAACAAGCTTGGGATGGATGTAGTTACCGTGGGTTGCATAATATACCCCACCTCTTGAACCCACTTTCAAATCTCGATCACCCCACGTTCAAGAGGATGACGAAACCAACTGATGCGTTTTCAGAACGCTCTCGACGAGACGATTTCGACGCCGCACAGTTTGGCACCACCACTGCCGTTCCTGTAGAAAGTGAGCAGTCGAGCCTTGAAAATCGGTCAAGTGGGTGTGATAATCTCATGCAACCTACGTTAGTTGGTTGTTGATGTCTTCTCGTTGCACACCCTACCGGTCTCCGCTCCGTACCTGCGAACACCCATACTGGTCCTGCTGGCGGTCAGTGAAAAATTGAGCCTCGAAAAAGGAAACATGTAAGAACTTGAGCACCATTTGTGAGCCACAACCTATACAGCGGCCGTTCGTAGCATGACCCTAGGAACATCGTAAGAACCCCAGCTTCGGCTTTTGATAGAGGGTCTTAAGTGCGGGCGCCTTCTGCATTCTTTTGTTGTTTGGTGCTGTTGAAGGTGGAATGACGCAAAATCAAACATCCCCTGGACCGATTTTCGAACCCCAGTCCTGGCCATAACCAGAGGTTTCTTGAAAAATGATACAAGGGGGAACGAGTGGCCCCCCATCCCCCAATGGGTGTCCAGCATGCGAAGGATGTGTTCGGCTGTTCGTTAGGCAGGGGAAGTAGAGACAGATGCGATGAGGACATTGCTACGGAAGAAGGGCAAAGGAAGTCGGCTTAGACGATGTGAGGTCTCCACACGCCCGTCCTTTGCGTAGTAGATCGATCGGCGGTTCGTTCCGAAAAAAAACAACTGGAATTGTCGTGGAAAGAAAGGCGCATGCCCTCCCGATCATCAAACAAAAGCGGACGGAACACGGGGGGGGGTAGAGAAGTTTGGAGGAGGGAACGGGGAAAACACGACGACGCTGAATGAAAAGTGACAAGAGGCAAGGGGACTTTGTCAACGTCACCGGCGGCGTTATCGGCAGTGTAGACTTGGCAGGGTTTTGTATTATGGAAACATGTTGGATGAAGGAAAGTCGGGTTAGGGTTAGGGTTCGGGAGTAGGGTCTGCGTATGATCCCCTCCCTGTTATATTTCCTTAAAATACCCAATTTCCCGCGGAGAAGGAAGGCGGTCCGTTGTCGGCGGCGTGAGGGCTAGTTGGAAAGCATATTTCTCCCGAGTAGAATGTGATGACAATTCTTTTTGCCCTTTTCAACACAGGTCGGGGCCACCACCGGTGTCGCCCTCCTCGAGGGAGCCGGAGGCGTGAACGGCACGGTGCTCGCGAAGGCCGTGTTCGGCTGGATCGTCACCATCATCGTGTGCGCCCTCACGTGCTCCGTGATCTTCGCGCAGGGGGCCTACGCTCCCTACGTGTACGACACCATCATCCTTCCGGAGACCACCTAGTCCTCGTAAGACAGAAAAAAAAAAACTCATGACATGAACAGTCAGCTACACAAGATGACCACCTGCTGACTGATCTTGTCCAGCCTGTGACTCACAGGGGGATAATGTGGCTGTGTGCTGCTCGGGGAACCGAAGGATTACATTTGACCACTTTTTTTTAGGAAATAAAAATCTTTCGCCCGTGTTTGTCGCCCTTGCCCCTGCCTGCTGTTGATGCAGTAGTAGTAGCAGTACCTTCGCAGTTTTTTTCTACGAAGTAAACATGTTGGATGAAGCATGCAATCGGGGAAGTTGGGTTAGGGTCAGGAACAGGGTCGGCGCACGCACGTACCCTCTCCTCCCTGTTATTATATATACCTCAACTCAGTTGGTTTCTCGCGAAGGCGACCAGGAGGTAGCCTTTACCCTTTCTACTAATTATTACGCAAACATGATGGATAAAGGATGAAGTTGGTAGATCAAGGCTGCTGGCGTTCGTTTTCGGGGCGAAAAGAGGGGAGTGTCTCTTTGTGTGTAGAAATTCCAAGACATCTCATGGGATCCATATCCATCCATCCGTGGTTCCATGATTTGTTCCTTTTTTGGAATCCATCCGGTTTAATCGCAGCTTTGCAGTTACAAGCCATACCGAGGATCATTTAAGTGCAGTATTGGATTGATGTTGAGGCTCCTTCGGACTACCACTACTTGTTCTGATGTCCGTCAAAATTTTTCGTTGCTTGAGATTTCTCCGCACCGGGCGGTGGAAACATAACACAAAAGTCTGTGTAGGCAGCAGCAGCAGTAGTCGTGCAGTAGTATTTATAGGAGGAGGAGGAGGAGGAGGAGGAGGAGGCAGTTAGGAACTAGTTACGTCTAAGATGGGTTCCCTTTTCAAAAACAAACGCCCGACCTATTGGTTGGTTGTTTCAGCGCAATAGATGGATTCCCTTTTCAAAAACAAACGCCCGACCTATTGGTTGGTTGTTTCAGCGCAATAGATGGATTCCCTTTTCAAAATCGCCCCACCTTTTGGTTGTTTCAGCCGCCAACTCTTCCCTGCGGAGAGAGACTACGGCTCACAAACTGCTGCGCGCCGTGTCTCGCGCCCACCGCAGCCGCGACCGTGGCGCGGTGAGCGCGAGGGGGTGGCGGCTTAAGAACATGTGCTGCCTTCGTGGACATGCGAAGTTAATGGTTTAATGACTGCGGCATGCATGATTCTGAGTACCCCCACCCTCTGGACAAAAGAGGGGTGTGTGTTTGGAAAGTTGTCGACGAGATGGTCCCAAACGCCATGTCCGGCACCGTTAATACACAGCTTTTTCTACAGGACAGCGCTTCGAACATAGGCCCAGGGGTTGGCGTGATATCTCAACCATCTACCGGCCATCTGTGTTTGATGTCTCCGGTTTTCTCGAGGATTCTGTATCGCGGGAAGAGCATTAGTCTTTGTACATGATTCCCTCTCACTTCGAAGAGATTTGAAGTTGTCCGAAACGACAAGCTATGAGAAGCAAGTCAGAACGAGAACACGAGCTGTCCAAATTTCTTCATGTTGATAATTTTTTTCGCTAGTAGTGGCAGGTTTGGCGAAAACATGAGCCATTGCCGTCCTTGTGCGGGGCGACGTTTGTTTGTTTAGCGTCGCGCTTGCTGCAACGCCCGCGATCAACACCGAATCTGTCAAGGTTTTTTGGCGAAGGCACAGCAGCCCAACTTGAAGATAACAAACATCGTTCAATTATTTTTTCAGTCATCCATCTCCTCCAGGACAAACGGAGAGGGACTCCAGTCGTGGCGAGCAAATGCGGCGGAAAACAACATCGCCACTACAGATAGCGCCCGCACTTCGGAACTCAGTACTTAAGAAATTGACCCTCGCAAAAAATCAGAGAAGTAAAAACTTGAGCACCATTTGTGAGCTCGGTAAAGCACCCTGCACTTAAAACCCATATGGCGACCATTCACAGAGGATGATCAGCAAAAATGATCAGCGAAATCAGAACTCCAGCCTCGGCCGAAACTAGAGGTTCTCAAGTGGGGGCGCCATCTGTACCACTACTTCGGGGCAAAACCCTCGAAGAAGAGCGTACCCCACCCGACCAAAAACACATACGGCAAGTGGACGTAACTGCTGGAAACCATGCAGCAGCAGCCCAAGATCACCCTCCAAAGCGATGCGCAATGTTCACAAGCACTAGCTGGCGTGAAAACAAACAAGAGACTTCACTGGCGTGAAACTACCAAGAGACCAGCGCGGAAAAAACGCTTGGCACCAAAAAAGTTCGGGAGGGATGGAAAAACACATCCGTGTCTCGATTTTCAAGCCCGCTCAACATCTGCGTTCCTTTTCATTATTCTCCCACAGGTAGCACCTGCAAATGCCAGTTCAGTACAGGTTTTGCACAGCTCGTGCAGCCTTTGATGTCTCGTAAAAAATGCTCCTACTCCAAGATATACACATACATCCACGCGGCAAAAAGCAAGCAAGCACGCAGGCAAGCAAATTTAGGCAATTGGCCTGGATCGATGCAACAACCCGTCGGACATACAATACAAATGCTAGAGCGTCGGGCACCCTGGGGGGGGTAGGGTACACCTCATCTTCCTTAGGCACCGACAAAACATGGTAGACAGGCCGAGTCGAGAGTTGCGGAAGAAGGGCCTAGCACAACCGACGAACCGCCCAAAATAAAACAAAAGCTATATCCGTGGGGCCAAGAAAATCCCTGCTGCCGCCGCGGCCCCGGGCAACGCTTGCCTACTCAATCGCGTTCCTACTCAATAAGTGACCCGGTACCACCACCCGTGCTTGTTTTTTTTATTACGAGGACGAGGTGGTCTCCGGAAGGATGATGGTGTCGTACACGTAGGGAGCGTAGGCCCCCTGCGCGAAGATCACGGAGCACGTGAGGGCGCACACGACGATGGTGATGATCCACCCGAAGACGGCCTTCGCGAGCACCGTGCCGTTCACGCCGCCGGCACCCTCGAGGAGGGCGACACCGGTGGTGGCCCCGACCTGTTTGATTCACGGTTATGTTCACAACAGAAGGGGAAAAACGTTTTTCCAAGAGAAGAAGTCAAGGGTAGAAATCGCCTTGGTACTCGACGTTTCATCCACAACACCAGAACTGCTTTCGAAATTACCATCACGACCGACAAAATGTTCTACAATTCCTTTTATCTGACTATGGAAACATATTAATGGGGCACATCCAAACGTTGGTTAAAGCTTACCTGGCAGTGGGTGGTGGAGAGGGGGATCTCGAGCCGAGTGCCGATGATGACCATCATGGCGGACCCGAGCTCGATCGCGAAACCACGGGACGGGGTGATCTTGGCGATCTTGACGCCGATGGCGGCGATGATCTTGTACCTGATTGTCCGATGGTAGATAAAGCACGTTGAGCACGATGCAAGAGAAGTAGAAGGTATCATACGTTATGAAGTGGCAGGCCTAGCAAGCACATAAACCAGGAACACCGTATGTCTCCGCGATGTCTTCTTGGCAAAGGTCTTTTCCGGCTGTAGTGCGGCTTTTCCTTTGAGGACAGGCTTGCTGGAGAAAGCTCCATTTCAGCTTCGTATGGCTAACGCCTAGAGATCTGCTCTGTCGTGACGGGTCGGCAGGGGTCATATCGCGTCGCGGGCATGCTTACCCGTAGATGGCAAGCCCAGCAACGATCCCGATGCCGCCGAGGGCGAGGATCCAGAAGGCGTCGTTCCCGAGGTCTCCCTCCGTAGTAACCTCTCCCGTGGTGTAGACGATGTAGATGCCCGCGAAGGGTCCCATGGCGTTGGCAACGTCGTTCGCTCCGTGCGAGAAGGAGTCGCAGATAGCCGTAAACACCTAGTCGGGGGGGGAGTAAGGGTGGGGGC